CCCCCCCCGTTTCCTTTGCCTGTGCTTGTTTTTTCAGTCAACCATGGCCACCGAGGACAAGCTGAACGACTACGACTTCACCGGCACTGACGCCGGTGCGTCGCACACCATCCCCTCGGAAGCCGGCCAGATCCGCAAGGGTGGCTACATCGTCATCAAGGGGCACCCCTGCAAGGTGCGTGAGGAGTAGGAAGGTGTGTGGGGGCATGTTCTAGTCTGTTGAGGTGGTACAACGGTACGGCTGTGCTATCTAGGAGCGTTTTGAAGCCTGTACTGCTCGAACAGGCTGCAGAGAGAAGACAGATGGAAATATATCGGTTGTTGTCATAATCGTGCCATCTAAAGCGCCCTCCAGAGAGACCGCGTTCGCGCGATTTGTTAAGTTTATTGAGAAACTACAACAGGGAGGGAGGGAGGGGTGGGGGGGCAGACCCTATTCCCTAACCCGAACCCAACTTCCCCGATTTTATGCTTTATGCAACATGTTCACATATAATAACACGAAAATCCCTGCGGAGGCTAATGCCCAGAGAAGCAAGCAGATGCATCCAGGCCCTCGCTGTCCGTTGTTGGTTGTTGCCGTGTTTCCAACTCCCGTCTATCTCCCTCCACTCTCTGCATGGCCGCGGCAGTAGTGGACAGCAGGAAGGGGCGTTTAGCGCGGCGGTTTTGGTGTTGTGTGTGGGTGCTTGAGTTTTGTGTTTCTGCGTGCTGAATCAGCAGCAAACAGAGGGAAATGGTTGCGATTTATGCCTACACGCAGGCTTTGTCTTAGTTGTCAACCCCTTGGTACCAAGCCTTTCGATTGACGACCGTCCCTTGTACTGGCGTTGGCATGGACAGAACCATAGTGCCCGCGCAATGGTCTCGTATCGTTGACCTTACGACCCGTACAAGCAGCATTGGGAACGTCTGGATTACGTAGATATCTGGGATAACTTCACCTCCCATTGCTTCCGCTGGATGCCGAGAATTGATGAAGATTGGCCCTTTTTTTTTTCAAATTGTCGCGTGTCGACCCTGTATACTCTTCTTCTTGGCCTCCACTCCCGCAAGGTGGTTAACGTGTCCACCTCTAAGACCGGAAAGCACGGCCACGCCAAGGCTAACTTCACGGCCACGGACATCTTCACCGGCAAGAAGCTCGAGGACGTCATCCCCTCCACGCACACCACCTCCGTGCCCGTGGTCAGCCGTAACGAGTACCAGCTGCTCGACATCTCCGACGACGGGTTCTGCTCGCTCCTTACCGGTAAGAGGACGAAAATGATTTGTGTTTTATTTCTTTGCATCGTTTTTGTTCTTGGTTGGTTCTGGTGATTTTCTCACTGCGTAGAATGGGTTGGTGTTTCTATCTTGTTCATCTCCGGTGAAAAAATCTCCATGTTTTTTTGTTTTGTTTATTGTGTGGTGTTGATCCTTTCTCTTGCCGCCGTTTGGAGGCTTTTGCTGCTCTGTATTGCTATCTCTTTCCTCTCATCTTACGCCTAGCCTGTTTTCTCAACGAGATGGATGCGTGGTCAATCCGCCCCATTAGCGAAGAGTACGCCCCTCGTCCAACTGGCGCCACATTTGCTGACCCAAACTCTCGCAATGCCTAAATGTACATGCATCAAACTGTTGCTGCTACCGTGCCTGTGGGCCGCCGGTGTCTGTGGAAGCTGTTGCTAATGCTGCTTCTCGGTCGTCTTGGTTTTGCCGGCGCCGGGTTTTGCGCGACTCACATGCATGTGTTTTAGTGAGAGCCAACTGAATCGTAGCTGCAGCTGCTGCGTGCTGCCTGGTGTGCAGCTGCGGGGGTTCCGTCAAGTATTTATCATTTTGATATCAAAATATCGAAGCGACCAAATTTTTTTCCATGTGTACAACCTGATATCGATACGATACATGCCGAACATATGTCGACACGATATCCAACACTATATATGTATTTCTTTCTTCCCCCCAACCCCCCGTGTTTCAGAGGAGGGCGACACCAAGGACGACCTGCAGCTGCCCACCTACCCCGAAGGTTTCGGAAACGAGATCAAGGCCAAGTTCGAGGAGGGATTGACCCTGGTAAGGAGCCATCCATACATGTGTATTTTGTAGCAATCAAGTGAGGCAACGATGCACTGCTTGCTATGGTACCCTGGTGAGCCATGTAGGCGGCCAGAGTAGCAATCAAGGGAGGTGGCGATGCTCTGTGGTCTCTGCCCTTGTGGGTCTGAGCGGGTTCGCTCCCGCTGCTGTAGTAGACCATGCGTGTTGGGTGTGGGGGCTTGAATTGAAGCCAAAGCCGATCTGCCGTCTTGGCATGCCGTAGAATTCAATTTTCTTTTCGTACGGGCACCTCGTCTGCGGTTTCGTTTGTCATGGGTGTTTTGTATTTTTTCGAGGAAAGATGGCGCACCCTCTGCTCTTGCATCACGGTGCTGTGGGCGACGGGCGCAGGTTGCCTTGAAACATGACCATATTTCACACTGTTCCGAACGTGTTAAGGTTCGTCTTGTGCGTTCTCCCACCAAAGCTTTTGTTGCCCCAGAATTCAAAGTATTAGCTGGGGCATAAGAGACGTCCGTGAGGTTTGCAGTTGAATGGCGTGCTTATTTCCACCTGCCTTGTTTTGTCTCGCTCTCTCTTGTGTGCGTCCTTGCAGTGCGTGACCGTCATGGCCGCCATGGGCCACGAGCAGATTGTCACCTACAAGGAGGAGTCCGGCTAAGACGTGACTTGACTTGACTTGACGCGGTGTGACAGCTCACGAGAGAGGGAGATGAGGAATAAGGAGACTCAACCCGGCTTTTTCGTCAACACAGGAAGGAGGACACGTTTTTAACTGGTACATTTGCTGTTGCGGCTGCGCCAGTGCCGATCGCAAAAAGGAAAAGAGGAAGAAAAAAAAAGGTTTATTAGAGGAGGTTGTGGTAAACGACTGGGGAGAAAAAAAATGAACAGGCGGGCGGCTGGACGCCACACCTCTTTTGAGGCTTCGCGGCGACGTGTCCTGCCCACGTGGGCGCCACCGGCGCGGTTTGCTGCTGTGCTGTTCCCGAGAAAAAGTCTGGCCGAAACCGAAGGGGGGGTAGGGGGAAGCCGTTTTGCTGAGTTGTGCTGGCCTTCGCTTGTGTTTTTTTTTGTTATTTACGCAGCATGTGTCGGTCGGCTGGGTGGGTGTCGGAGGTGGTGTTGGTGTTTTGTGGCGTGCTACGGGGGTGATACGATATGGGAGTTGTGGCGGGGGGACCACGGGGCGGCTAGGGAGGGGGAGGGGTGCCAGCGAAAGGCGACGAAAAACTGCGTCGCTCATAGGAAGATGGCGATATGATGGGATGGCAGAAGGAAGAAGCAAGGTTTGCATCGTTGAATTGGATTGGCGGGAAGCCGTTTGCTTATCGTTTGGGCCCCCTCGCCTTTGTTCGGCTCGAATCTCTCTCACGGAAAGATAACTTTTTTTTTGTGTCAAATAGAATCGGATCGGTCCCTCCTTTTGTGTAATGGCCCAAAAGAGGGAGAACAGAAGGGCCAATGTACTACTGTGCTGGGTCTCGATCGCGTGCGCCCCTGGGCGCGCTCGGCTTGACGTGGGAGGGCCCCGGGGCGTGTTGTGGTGGTGCATGAGATGATAGGGGGGAGAGCACGATTTTGTGGTATACAGTCGATTTCGGGGCAAGGAAGCAACAGGCAGAAAGCATGCTGTACTTTTCGAGGGTAAAAAAAAGAGTGGAATACAGTGCACGTCTTGCATGGTTGTGATAATAGATGGAGAAGAGACATTAGGGTGGCGTGGCAGGAATACTCGACGTTACAGCTCGAAAGGCCTTGGGTGTGCACGGGAGGAACCTACACAAAGAGTGTCTCGCGTTGCTTGGTGGGAGTCACGCACCAGCTCGAAAGAGGAGAGTTGATGTGGGGGGCGACGAACACAAAAAGAGTGGCTGTGACAGACGTTCAATGGCACACGGAAAAGACGTGCTGCGTGTACCGTATGTCCTTTTCCTCTCCCCCACCCCCCCACCCCCCCGCTTGCGCGCTGCTGCACGCCTCACGTGACGTGAAACGGTAGCAGTTGGCCCCTTTCTTGCATTTTATATGCGTGTTTTGGTACGATTTGATTGTTTTCGACATCCGGACCGCTCACTAAGCCGCCGACTGAAATTGAAGGCCACAGCGGGGTAGACATGCCCGGGAACGACATTACCTCCGGGCCTTCCCCTAGTTTTTGAGGGGGCGTTTGGCCTCTGCTTCCCCCTGAGGGGAGGTGCACTTCTACTGGAAGAGTTGGGTAAAGAAAGTGTTGTGTTCATAGCCGGCACCGCGTTCTTGTTTGTGAAGGAGGAGAAAAGGGATGAGGCGGTTCAGGAGCGGACGGAGACCAGCGCGTGTTTTGGGTATCCCGGGCCGTGGAGCAGGGGGAGAGACGGTAATTTTTTCGTTGACCGCCTGATATAACAAGAATCAGAGCCCCCCCCCCAAGATATCCACGGCATACATGAAAAACGAGTTAGTTCTCCGTGGTGTCCGGTGACTTGCTCGTGTCATACATGGCTTGCCAGTTGTGCTACCCCCCTCTCCCCCCGCAACGTGTAGTCGGTTCGCTGTGTGCTCCTCAAAGCAAAAATTTTGCCCATGAGTGGTCTGGGGTGTACAGGGGAGCTCCTGAGATTTTGACGGTACCCGGCCAGGGGGTTTGGGTGGCGGTGGGGATGGTGCAGGAAAGGCCTGGCCAACGGTTTCGCCAAAGGGGGAGAGAGGTAAAACGTTTTGCTGTGTGATCAGAGGCACGCTTATCTACAGGGTGCCAGTCGACGGTGGGTGAAGAGTGGGAGAGGCGCCAGAGAAGTCTGCCTCTGTCGGACTCGTTGGCGGTTTTACCGCCTTGGTCTGCTACAAAAATGCGACTCGCCGCCGAAGCACCATTTTTCACGCCGTGCTTCCTGAGGGAGCTCCGGCTTGCTTTCTATTGTGGGCTTTGGGCGGGGGAGGGGGGAGTTGTTGTCCAATTTCGGTTCTGTTGGAGGTGATTCCCTCGATTTTTTCCTTGTGGCTCCCCCTTGCGTTGTTTGTCGTGCCTTAATTTTGTTTTCGATGTCACCATATTTCGTTTTCCATGTCATCGCTAAGGTTTTGGTTACTTTCGACTTTGCTGCTTACGACACGACGCGTTGTGTGGTACGTGTACACAACTCCTCGCCGTGTAGCGTTCCTTGCCTCCCTGTGCGCAACAAGAGGTTTCGCGGGCGGCCGGGGTGGGGGAGGGCTCGTACTTTTACATGAACGAGAATAGGCTTGTACTGTAGTGCCGCTTTTGGCAAACCGACGCGTGATGGAGCAAGACGGGGCGCGGAGATGGTGGTGTCTAAGGATGGGGTAACGTCTGGTAGGATGACACTTTGATACAAAAGAGTGTTGGCGGGGATGTCTCTGTTTGTTCGTGTTGGGCACATTCTTTGTGCTCTTGTTCCTTGTTTCGGAGCTAAGGGGTCAACGAGGGAGGGGCACGAGAGAGATGGGTAGTGCTGGGTTGAGGGCGGGTTCAGAGATAACGTACGTTAGTTGTCTTGTGCACCTTGCTTGTCCGGCTGTTCGCGTGCGGTGAGGGAGAAGGTGGGCGCGAGAACCTCGTCGTGCATTCATCGATTGTGAGGTTTGGTCGTTGTTGTTACGGCTCAACGCGCCATGTCTCGTAAGTCAGGAGTCTACTACGTACAAGAAGCGTGCGGGGGGAAACGAAGCTTTGATTCCTATTTCATTCCACCCAAACATGGTCTTTCTCTCTTATCATCCCATTAATTATACGATGACGTGAACGACAGAAGCAGTGGTGACAAATCTGCTTGCTCGTCAAGCGTTTATGGTACTCTTTTACGACTGCTATGCAACACTGTCTAGCGAGAGGCGCGTTGCCGCTATCCATGAACCTCGAGGACTCCACCCCGGCTGCCACCAATAACCACTTCTGGCCAAGGATTTTCGGCCAAAATAATATCCAGCGGCAGTGATTGTAGTGGCGCTGACCCTTCGGCAAAAACACTGTTGTGTTGGTTGCGATTACTCTATGTAGATACGACACACCCGGCGGGCAGCACGTACGTAGACAACAAGCACTTCAATCAATGTCTCTGGCACGGCGACGACATGGACAAAACTCACGGGGCACTTGTGTGTTCACTCATCACATAGCATACCTTCAACATCACATCCCTCCATCGCATCCGCGTGCCTCCTCGCTCTTGCTGATTGCTGATTTGTTGATTTGTTGCTAATTGCGCCGCGTTTTTCTACGGCGCTATCGGCTATCGGGTGCTTTACAGCGCACAGCGCACAGCGCAGCGACACTTGCGCGCGGCACTGGGTCGCTATTCAGCAATAGACACTTCCAGCGCGGCTAGCATGAGTCGAAAGCGGCCGCGGCCACTATCATGGGCCCAACTGTTGGTGACGGCAGGAGCCACGTTCACCGTGACGTCGCCAACATCAACTCAAAGTTTTGTAATGCCGAGCGCCACGGCGCTATTTGCGGCTCACCGGCGCCGATGCAGCAAGCCCTTGACAGGGGTAGCAGCCGCTCGACGTCTGCAACCCGACCCACAAAAACGACGACGGAGATCTAGAGAGAGCTGTGGCGATCGTTCGGGGCAAGGGACGCTAGACCCAGACGACCCGCTGCCTCGCACGATGGAGGAGCTCTACCGCCGCATCGCCAGCGAGCCGCCGTTGAACCTAGAGCAGCAGTACAAGAAGGCCCTCGAGCCCGACGCCGAGGAGATTGGCATGGTAGAGGAGGCGGTCCGAGCCACCTTCAAGTGCACGGAGGATGACGCGTGGTGGGATGAAAACGGCCAAGAGTGGGACAGGATGGCGGAAAACCCGGGGGAACACTTCGCGCTTGGGCGGGAAGAGGACAGGGGCGGAGGGGTGGTGTGGGGAATGCAGGACTACTTCGGCGAGGAAGCGCCGGAGTGGGGGCTCTCGGACGAGCCGGCAGTGAACTTCAGCCTCAGCGCGTACAAAGCGGGGATACCCGGGCGTGCGGCGAAGGACGGGGAGGGGAGGGGGAGAGAAGCGGCCGAGCTATTCGAGCGAACGCCGTTCGCGCAGTACTGGGAATCGGTACCTGACCTGCGGGCTGCCGGGCGCGTCTACGCATACAACGCCGTGGATCGCATGGCCGCGCTCAAGTTCCTGATGAATTGTACTTACAACGGGATGCACGGTTCTGCGGAAAGTATGCAGGTGAGGAAGTGAGGCCTGGCCAACTGATGATTGTCGGGTTGCTTGCTTTTTTTCCTGTTTGACCCACGATACTGCTGTAACAGCCGTCAGGAGCGCAGGAGACGCTTCCAACAGTTTTACTCGAATCTTGCTCGTTGGGGCTTTTGCCTCAGAGCGCGAGGCAGACAGAGTTCCTGAGGCCCCACTAGGTTTCAACTATGTACGTCGTGTAACGTGCGGCCAGTGCTGTTGCCGTTGAGCACACCATACAAGGCGGATGCGCGGTAAGGTCCCTCTGAGAACCGAGTTGAAGGTTTTAGGTCCAGAAAAACGCATCCATCCGCTCGTTGAACAGTCCCGCGAGGGACGAAGGCTGAACTTGGTTCTAGACAGAAATGCGCCCTCAAAATAGATGGAGACACTTTCCATACTGAAGCCAAGTGAGCCAATTTTTCCCATTTCTAGGTCATGCAGTTTTACCAATAAGGGGACGCAATGCGCGGTTTGAGAGTTATGTTTACAGCAAGTCAGAGGCCGAGGAGTGGCAGCACACAGTTTGACACAAGCATGGGACCAAGGTTTACCACGCGCGTTTCACACAGCGGAGCCTAGTGCCGACTATGGTGCGGTAACCAGACAATGGACTGATTTGCCCCCAATGTGTCCATTTGGGCGTCCAGTACTAAAAGGGTCAACAGCAGTGTTGGCATGCGTAGATGTACATGAGTTCTCAGCAACCTGGAGGCGTGACATGCTGCAAGACCTAACAATGTTTCAACGGAAGTGTACATTTGTTAGCTTGTGCACGCGAGTACATCTGACGGTGTTTAAAGCGGTGAAAGGCGCGATGCTTGACCGAATGTCATGGTACTCGGTTGTGGTCGACTTCGGTGAAGCCCACAGCTGCTGCTAGGTGTTTGAACTCAACACACCTTTAATTTGCACCTTGGACCGCCGGTACCCGTTGTCTGCCCCCCCCCTCCCTCAGAGTGGTCACTTTCTGTGGGGGTACGTGGACCAGCTTGACTGGATGAGGCGCTCGGGCCGCCTGTCCAGCACACCGGGCTCCATCAAGGTGGATCCAAACTCGTGGTGGGGGCGCGTGAGCTTCGCCTTGACGATTGTCCCGTTGGTGGCGGCTGTAGAGAGCGGCGCGTGGGACGACGATCAAGTCGCCGCCATTTCCGTGCTGGGCGTAAGCGGGGACGGGTCGGGGCGAAACGACGACCTGCAGCTTCCTGAGCTGCGGCGAGCAGTGCGAGCGTGGCGCCGGGTGTGGCGCTTCCGTGACCCCGATATCGCCGATCGGGTTGTGTTGGACATGCCGGTCCACGACTCCCTCCAGGAGCGGGTCCGCCGGGCGCAGTGGGCGGCCCACCTCGAGTCTCTGGACGCGGTGGAGGCCCTCTACGGCAAGGAATTCGACATGCTGCCGTCGAAGGCGGAGCGCGAGTTCGCTCGTGGCTGGTGCCGCGCGGCGAGGCTGTTCGCCGCGGCTGCTGCCCATACCAACCTCGAGCGGTGCCTGCTGCCGCTCGGGGCGGGCTACGCGCCCGAGCGCTTGCTCACGGACGACGACGACTTCCTCACCGCAGCCGCCCGCAAGCAGGGCCCGCGTTCTTTAGAGAGCGTGCCTTTCGGACCTCCGGACTTGGTTGCCGAGGCGGAGAGGGACTCCGCGGTGGTTGCCCTCAGCACCCGACGGTGTGTCGCGTCCGTCAGGTGGCTGGGAACGCTGGGCGCGCCGGTCTTCGAGGGGTTGTGCCGCCTGTGGCGTCGGTCGTGCACGTCGTACCCTGCCAGGCGCAGGGCCGCCCGGGTGCTCCGCGAGGCCTGCTACGGGGGGCGGAGAGCGAAGGCCGCGGCTTGGGCGAAGTCGTTCCTGTTCCTCTTCGTCCCCAACCTGAACTACCGGAAGCTAACCTTCCCGCTCGGCGTGGACCCCGCCGAGGAGGTCGAGTACGACCCGGACTTCGAGCCCCGCGACTTCTCTAAGCCGTACCCGCGACCCGTCGGGTCTCGCCCCTTGAACCCTCTGCAGTGGCCGTGGTACGAGGGCCGAAGGCCCGACCCGTCAGCGGGGCTCCCGGGGGGGGAGGGGTGGGGCGAGGACGATGACGGGCTGCTGGCGAGTCCGGGTGCAGTAGCTTCGGCGGGGGGAATGTTCCCGCCGGGGAGAGAACCGGTGGACGGTAGCTTCGAGGCCGGACAGAGGAGAGAGCAAGAGGTCATGGAAGACTTGCGTGCCTTGGGTTACAACGTAGACGAGAGAGAGGGCTCGAAGGGTGGCAGCAGTGACGGTGAGGCGCGCCGCCGCGGCAGCCGCGAAAGCGGGAGTGGCAGCAGTGGGGGGCGTAGCGCCAAGAGTGGCGAGGGAGGAGCAGTACCAGGAGAAGGCAAAGTTGCGAGGCCAGACAAGACGGTTTTCTTGTAGCGTTATGCAGAACGGAGCTCGGCCTGAGTTCCAGTATCCTCCAGCTTCCGAAGAATGTAAATAGTTGACGGGGTTCCATGGAATAAGGTGGTGTAGCGGTGAGGTATTTGCAACGGCAGCATGCCATTTAAGCGATCTTGATTGTTTATTGTTCGGAGACGCACAAGCCTGTGTCGCCAGTCGGTCTTATTTGCCCGAGCGGCAGGGTGAGATCAATCACAAAATTCATACAAATCGACACAAGTCGCGGCAGCAACGCCGTCCGGCCCCCGCGCCGTGGCGAGAGCGAGAATGCTACTGTCCTCGTCACAACCAAGGGCGGCAAAAGTCGCCCTGCCGTCAGCGTTGGCTTCAGCTGCAGCGGTGTCTGGCGCAAGGAGCACTCTAGACTCTCCGGTCAAGACGCTCCTTGCCACAACTTTGCCCCGCCCGTCAACACCAACAACGAAACCGTAGCCACTGTCGCACAAGCACCGCAAGCCGCTGCCGGCGTCGTTTTCGCGATCGTCATGCTCGCCGCCCCCTCGGCTCCTGTCAACACGAACGCAGAGCAATCACAATTTTCGAAAGAGGAAAAGGTTTTTATGGGATGTTTCTTCACACAAAACCGCAAGCCAGCATCTTAGGGTAGAGTGGCTGCTTGCCACTTGCCAACATCACGTGAAAACAACGCGTAGTGACTGTTGCTTCGGGTTGAAAACACAAATCTGCGTCTGCTCGTCTCCATCAACAAACCGCCTTATTTGGGGTGTTGCGCTCAGAAAACAAGTGCTTCATCACTTGGTTTCGGCGCTCGCTTGACGCGGAACCGTCGATGCAATCCACCGTCACAAGCGCAGCGAGAGCACGACGTACTCTAGCCGAATCTTGGAAATGGCGATAGCACGGCACAGGAGTTTGCGCGTGCGGCGTTGTCGTCAGTGAAAAAAAAGAAGAGCGCTCGAGAACCTTAAGGCCTGATGTAGCCTTCAGCAATCGGTTTCGTGACACAGCCCAGTATTTCTACCGGTATTCTCTTGACGTTTTCCAACAGCAGTGGGATTCTCAAACCCACGAACGTGCGATCGGAAAATAATCTACTCTGAAGCTGTCAGATTTGATGTTGCAAGCTAAGCTTCAGTCTTTTCCGACGGAAATTAGCTTCTGTCGCACGCCCTGTCATTCCGATACCCCCACCCTTACACGACCGTGTCTCAAAAGCCGATCTCGACCATGCCACGGTCGGACATCGCAAATCATGGCTCCTCGCCAAGTTTTTATAGACCTCCGAGTGCAGTAGCGTACGCCACAAGTAGGCGGCCATGTGCGACCATGCGCGCTGTTTTTCCCGCCTTCACCGGTTCGCCGCCTTTCTGTCGCTATCGCTCATTTGTTGTGATCTTCTCGAATCATTTTTGAAAAAGTTGAATCTCATCTAGGGATTCAGCTGGATTAATTCGTTGTGAAGCAGTCTTACCACAAGAAATTAAAAATATCGAATGTACAGAAACCGAACGGCATCATCATCAGCAGCAGATAGATATTTTTCTTTGTTCTCGAAGTATTTTCTATGCCTTTTCGGGGTATTTTACTTTTTTGCACAAATGTATTTTCATGCGATATACTCCCTTTGGGTACTTACAGCAGCCTGTGGTCACCGGTCACGGTGAGAGGGTAGTAGGACTGACTGGCTCAACAGCGACCGGGGCGAGTGCTTATCGTGTGATCACAACAACGAACGGTGACCAGCGAACTCCTCTAGCACCACACCCTTTCACTTCCACAGGTAAGAGTCCGAGGTAAATAACCGATGGGTTCATCGTGTTGTATGGTGACCAACTTATACATGTGCCGTTGTTCCCCACGCAGCTCTTGTTTCTATTTTTGTTTCCATCAGCCGTCGGGTCGTGATCTGTCAACGCAGTAAACTCAACTAGCAGCTAATTTAACCCGCTAGAAACAAACGCCAACTTCAGACAGGCAACGCGGACGACACTCGTCGCCTTGAATTATCACAACCCAATCACGCGTGTGACTAAGGTGAGACCATGTATGTTTCTACCCCATGAGCAGCATCCAGCCAATCATGTTGGCAAGCTGTATCAAGTTAACTGCACAAGATGATCATCCCGACAGGGTGCGCAGGCGTGCGGCATGCCAAACAGAATCTGCAGAACGTGCAGAGGCCATATACATGAACCCTGGCGAGAAATGAACCAAGCTGCTGCACTTACCTCTCGTTTTCGCCTTCTCCCGGCATCGGCCGCTCTCCTCCCCCAGCTTCAGCGTCAGCCTCCAGGCGTATCGCCGACACCCTGCCACAGCTGTGTTTTCCCGCGCCGCCGTCACCCCCACCGCAGTAAACACCGAACAGCCCGCAAACGACCTTGCTCTTCTCCCGGGTTGAGCTTACGCCGCTTTCGCTGCTGCCGCCCGCGTGCCTGCTCCCCGTCGCCAGTAGGCAAAGCATTCGGGGAGCTGGCTTTGCCGCTGCCGCCTCTGCTGCTGCTGCTTCTGCTTCTGCTTCTGCTGCTGCTGCTGCTGCCTCTGCGACCATCGGCACTCCTCTCGCAACCGCCGCATTACCAACCGCAGCAGAAGCCAGTGGTACGCAAACGCTCACGGTGGTGATGGGCAAAGTGAAGAGGGGACGCAGGTCCAGGACGTTCCAAACCAAGACCGCATTGACCAATGGTGCGGAAGCGCAGACGAGGTAGGGGTTGCTCGGCACGGGTGCCAGCGATGTGTACACAGCTGCTGAGAGGCGGGAGGCGGGGGTGAAAAAGAACAGAGAAGGGGTGCAAGGGGGAGCAGCGACGGTTGGAACCAACCTGAGAAGTCACTGTGGTGCGTCGAGGCAAACGGAAACCGCTGGATTTTCAGCTCGCCGCTGTTGTGCGAGCAAGCTCAAGTGATGAGTCTTTTCCCATCAACAGACGACACACACTCTCTCACCATCGTCGGCCAACTTAGTAGGCAACTGCTTAGCGACGAACGTCTCCGAGCCGCTCCTCCCGGCCCCAAAAACTAGCCGAAGCGCCTTGCCACCCAGGGCCATCACAGCAGTGATCTCTCCGGCGAGTTCGGCCGTCCCGGCTCCAGGTCCGTCCTCGTCGCCCGCCGCCATACCACCAGCACCATCACCCCTCTCCCCGTTCGCCACCGAGTACCCGCACACGCAGAGGCAAGGCATAATGTGGCTCGGCACCGCCGGCGGGAAAAACTTCGAAAACTTCTTTTTGACAGTGGTCGTCAAGACTGCCGGTTGTAACGAGGGCGCCCCCTTTGCTCGCCCGGCAGAACCGCCGCCGCTACCGCCACTGCTTCTTCTCCTATCCGCACGCCTGGCGTCCTGCGGCGTCAAAGGTGGCACCGGTGACGGCGAACCCTGCTGCCAGACGCGAAAAATCGGGGACCCGGGGTCTGTCCCTTGCCGACCAACCGCCATGATGTACGCGCCCTTGCCGCCTCCGGGCGCCCTGGTCGCGGAGGGCGTCGACCCGGCGAGGTCACCGCCCACCACGGCCGCCGCCATAAACTTCCACGGGACGAGCTCCTTCGCGGCGCTGGCGAGCTCCGGCGACAGGTGCGTACAGATCGCCTCGGAGTCCGTCAGGTCCCAGACGGAGACTCCTCCCGAGTGGCAGACAACGATCGACGCCGTCGCGGCGGTGGCGACGGAACCCGTGCGGCTGCGGCTGCGGCTGCCGCTGCCGCTGCCGCTGGCGCGGCTTCCTGCCGACGTGACCACAACGGAGGACACCGCCAGCGAGGGCTTGCCCGAGAAGTCCAGGGTGGCGACGCGAGCGATGGCGGCGGGCCACGAGTGCCTCCCGTCAGCGCAGGAGGAGGGTGGCGCGTCCTCCGAAGAAGGCGGCACGGTTGGGCCGCACGTAGCGGCGACGTCCTCTGATGCATCCGACACCCCGCTCCCTCCCCTCCTCCTTCTCGTCGTCCTCGAACCCGAGTCATCATTCCGTTCGTCGGAATCGGCAGTCAGTAGCGGGACAACCCACGGTCCTACCTTCGCCTGACGCTCCTGAGGCAACGTGCCCGCTGGTGGTGGTGATGGCTGCGATTCCGTGGGGTGGGTCACGGTTACCGGGGACGGCGACGCCTCCACCTCTTCCACAGCTGGTGCCGGCGTTGGTGGAGTCGGAGTTCTAGCGCGCTTCTTGCCAGCTTTGCGGGAAGACGGATAGGGCGACGACAGCGCCCCGCCTTGACTCGCGCCAGCCGTGCCGGCCGTTCTTTTCGCGCCGCGCTCGCCATTATCCCCGGCTGTTTTTTTCCCGTCGCGAACAGTCGGAGTCGCCACTGCTGCCTTCGCCGCCGCTGCCGCCTTCAACCCATCTCCCTCCCTCTTACCTGAGGGGGTGTTCTTCGCTGCCGGTACCGGAGCGTCGGCCGAAAATGAAGCCGCGAGCCCCGCTGGTTCGGCGCCTTTCGCCGTTATTGCACGGCCAGGAGTGCTATTCCGGCGACGTTTTCGGGGGGCAACGCCGCCGCCCACACCGTCCCCGCCGCTGGCTTCTTCACCCCCTGCCAAGAATCTTCCTGATCTCTGCTCTTTTCGGCGACCACCAGAACTGGAGGCGTTGGCGGCCTCGGTACCCTGCCTGGAGCTTCGAGGCGAACGGCGTTCTTGAGTGCCACCACCGCTCTTCCGCCGTCTATGGGTGTCTGCGGCGAGTGCGCAAAAGGAGGACAAAGCGCCTGTGCTGTGTAAGAACAGAGAGGTTTACAGGATAAAATGGGTAGCATAGACTAGACAACTGGCAGACCAACTGCTGCAGTCAATACTTGTACATCCATGTAGTCTCGGTTGACTGTTTACTGCTGTTGCGCATGTTGAACACGTTGTAGACTACAGCAGTAATATGAGTGCTGCACACCAGGGCCTTACCTCGGATGTCCGGATCGTGCGCACCGCCCACACCGTTCCCGGGGCCCTGCGCCACCTCCACAGCGGCCAACGGCGAACGGGAGGAGCGTGGCGCTTGGTAGTGCTTGGTGCTGCACATGCGGCATTTCTTCGCCGTCTCCACGTTCGTGAATGAGCACGAGACGCAATCCCAGCTCTTGCCGCTGCTGCTTTTGCCCCTGCTGCCGCCGTCGTTGCCACCCTCCTCGGCAACAGCAGAACTTTCGCGTCGCCGCCGACTGCTGCTGCCTCGTGTGGTTAAAGGTGCAGCCGGGCTTGACGCCGTACTGCTGGAAATAGCTCCTGCGGCATCAGCAGGCGGGGTCGTAGCGGTTGATGCCTGGGACAGCCGACTGCTAGCTCTGCCGCCGGCCGTCGGGGTCGGCGTCGTCTGTGTGCGATTCAAACGACTGTTGTTGAACCCCTTGGGAGTTGGCATTGGCGTTGAAACGGGTGGAAGTTCCGGCGAGGCGCCACCGAGCCATGTTGTCGCTTTGTCTGCTTCCGTTTCTCCCCCTGGTGACGGTGCTGGTGCTACTCCTGCTGCTGCTGCCGCTACTGCCGATGCTGCCGCTGCTGCCGCTGCTGCCGGAGTCGAGTTGTCCAACACTCTGTCTATTTGGCTCGCGGTACTCAAATCTTGAAGGCGTTGGGCAACGGCCTTATCCTTCGAGAGTCTCGGCCTGTACGTACGACTCATCGTGCCGTGTTGGTCCACTGCCGATGAAGGATGTGCCCGGTGACACACAAGTGGTACACACAAGCTAGAGAGGACACCGAGCAGCAAGCTGCGAGCTGCGGCACATCTGGCGCGGGGGCACAGGTAAAATGCCCCTCCCCCAATTTTCAAGATTTCAAATCTGCGGGCCTCTTTCGCGCCAAAACTTCAAAACTTGGCAAACACTGCTTTCTGTTGCGGTCTCGTGGTCTTTAGTCTCGCACTCGCTGCGATCGTTCTCTCTGCTTCTCGCATTGGACGCCATGGCTTCACAAGCTGAGCCAGAGCTCAACAAGCACGCATCCACCCCTTCAAAGGCGAGACCTTGTCCCGGTAACGGCCCTGCTACTCCGATGGACATATCCTCTCCCGAGCCCGTCTTGTCCTCGTTGCAGAAACTGCCCCCCCTGCTGTCGAGCAAGCCTCGCAGCGGCCGAAAGGTCAGCAGCCTCTTCAGCGACGGGACGGCGGGAGCGAGATCCGACGGTGTCTCTGCTAAGAAGGAGGCTTGCGGTAGCAGTGACGTGCTGGCCGCGCCAGGTGCGGGTGTGGTGGGTTCGATTGGTGAGGACCTTCATCAGGCAGCCGCTGCTGCTGCTGCTGTCGCTGACCCGCAGACGGAGGCGTGGGACGGCACCCAGATCGGCGGGGGCGGGGCGAGTTTCGCGTCTCCCGTGAGAGCGTCGAGGGATACCCCCGACGGCAGCCGGTACACGCCGCAGCGGAATCTCGGTGGGCTCTTTGCATCGCCTCTGCCTCCGCCGCGAGATGCGTCGCGATCTACACCCGGTTCGGCCGACTTCGCCTTGGAGCTGGTTCCACCGCTGGCGCAAAGACCGAAGCGAGAAGAACGAGCTGCAGGCAAGGACACCGTCTTGGTAACAAAGACTAGAGTACTGGTGTTGCGTGCTAAGGGGAGGCAGTGTTAGCAGGTAGACTCGCAAACGTGCCCCCGGGCATTGGATTCGACGTGTAGTTATCACAGCTGAGATCCTGCAGGAAATGCGCCCGACACTACTTGTGTAGACTACCGCAGCAGTCCCCGCGGCAATGGTTCAACTTGCTGCCTGGCAACGCCGCGCGTCTTTCGTTGATGAGGATGAGATTCTTGCCAACGCTTTGTTGTCATGTTATTTTTCGCGTTCGCCCATTACCCACGCTACGGCTGGACGCGCGCACATTCTCCACTCGGGAGTCGTACAATAATCGGGGAGACTTTGATGTATGAAAGGCTGCTGTAAGAAGCAAGCGGTGATGGTGCTCTGTGCGTGCTGTAGGTGACGTGAGATATGACACCCCCTGGACCGGTTTTCAAAGCTCGAATACTCCACAGCACAAAGAGTGGTCGTAGCGAACGCGGGAACCCGTCTCCGAAATCTTAGCGAAGTTCGTTGATAAAAAGTCTACATCTTCACGAGTAGTAATCGAGCTTTGAATCGTTCCAGGTGGTGCGATACAACAGTACGGTCACCTACCATAGCTAGCGCCCGAGTTGACGGTGTAGTCTTCACCGGGAGCGTGAGAGTCGAAGGAACGTGAGACAGCTGCTGTTGACAACGTGGCCCCGCTTCTCCACTGCGTTTCTCCCTCGCCTCTCCTACGCGATTATTTCGCCTTCCTCGATACTTGCGCAGTTCTTGCTGGGTCTTGCCCCCCAGCAGAGGAAGCAGTGTCCTCCACTCCACCACCACCCGCACGAAAACAAGCGGAGGCGATCGGCGAGGGTTTGGCGGTGAAGTTTCCAGCACCAGAGATGCACCTTTCACCACAGTCAGAAGCAGCGCAAACAGCGGCAGAACGATCTCCGGTACCAGCAAAACCGGCGACACAGGTAAAATCACCACCGGTGGCGGTGAAACCATCCCCGGTAGCAGCACTGGCACCGGCGACACCATCAGTGGCACCGGCGGCGGACGGGCGGGTTCCCGCTACATGCCGGTGCGGGTGCTCTTCCTCGGAGGCGTCGGGGACGGCGGCGGGGACGGGCTGTGACGACGACTTGTGCTGCGTGTCGAACGACGCCTTCAAGAGCGGCGAGGCCATGCGCACGCTAGAGGTTCTCGTTAAGCGAGAGCGCGTCGGTGAGAAACCGGGGCAGGGAGAGAGAGAGAGAGAGAGAGGCAGGACCTGTCAAGTGGGGGATTTAGGGCGGGGAGAGAGTTACGGATCGTGTTGGGAAGTAGTAGAGGGAAACACGTGAGTACCGGCTTTCGAAAGAGAGGGTGGAAGCTTCAATGGCGACAGACTTTGGAAGGAAAGCGAAACGGTCGGAGGCGGAGTTCTCCGTGTATCATCTTCCGTTGATCCATTGGCACACACACCTCTGCTTCCTGGATGCACGAATGAATGAGACTAACCGATACCACCGACAGAGCCCGCGTACCTGACAATGCTCCCCCTCCTCCCACACACGCAAACGGACAATAACCAACCAGGAGTGAACGCTCTCGCGTCTTGGAGGGTGGCGGAGCTCAAGAGGCGGCTGGTGCACCTCAAGTTCTTCCCCGCCGCGGAAGCCATCGCGCTGGTGCCCACGATACCGCTGGGTGGAGAGGCCCTGGGCGACGACGTGAGGCTGGACACGCTCGACGACGACGTTACGTACAAGGCGCGCCCCCGGCCCGTCGCCGCCGCAGCAGCAGCAGCTGCGGTAGTCTGAGTGAAGCAGCCCGCGCAAATATCCCTACACGACTTTTTTAGCGGATTAGCATGCGATTAAGAATCTCAAATTTGTAGGCTACGGCGGTGTCGACGAAAAACGTTGGTTACGACAGAGGACTGAAGGCAGAGACGAGGCTCATCATTTCGTTTTTTTTTGCAACGGTTGGTGTTCGCCTTGGTTGGTTTACCTGTGGTGTGCTTTTCACGGTACAAGCTGTCGGTGGTACTCTAGGTCTGTTTCCTCGTGTTGATGTGCGCGAGGTCGGAGAAGGGTGCAAGTTGACAAGTTGACCCGTGTAGCCTGGTTTAGCGCTGGCCGTGTACAAGTAATGAATGTTGTGTTTGGGGTTTTGTTTTATTTATTTTTTCAATTAAGTTGTGTACACGCAGCATTGCGCTGATTCTACGGGTCGGGGTGGTGCTGCACCCCGTCTTGTGTTTGGTGTTTGGTGGAGGGAGAAGAATGTAGGGGCGTTACATGTAGGCGTAAAAACTGGCAAGATTGCTCGTGGCGGTGGCCCCTTCATTGATTGCTTTCGGAGTTGAACGTGGACCTATTGTTTGTTGGCAACCTTAAAGTTTTGACTTCTGTTTTGTTTTTGGTGGGCTTGTTTTGTTGGAAGATGATCAATCACGAAAACGGTGATTTGCTTGCTCGACTTTGTGAAGATTTCTGTAAAAAAACACCGCAACAATGGGCGACCACTAACCTCTGAGGAGCGTCATCAAAATGGCCCATCCCTCTATATTGCAGAACGTAAACACTCAAGATCCGACGCCCAAACAGGGGTTAACGCTACGTGCAACATACCGAGCCCATCGCGTTGGCTGCACCAACAAACACACGATTGGATCAAGAAAAAAGCCCACAAGCTTCAAACACGGACGCTTGGGACAAACAGTACATGGAGAATTAACCGTGGTAGGACTAGAACCACAAATGTTATTGATCACTTCACAGCGGCACACGTTATGCGAAGGTGCCCGTCAACATCACCCCCACAGCAACAGACACAAGAACAAGGTGGCACAAAACCGACAGCAAGCTAGCGCACGTGCCACTACAAGCGGGCTGCTACAGGCCAAATATACAATTACATCGACACTCGCGCCACGTGATGTACCGGGAGGAGGGGCTCAAAGATGCCCTTACAATGGGCTCCACGCGGTCGCCCCCGCCCTGCCCACGCGCCATCCTTCTCTTCATCGCCCTTCTCCCCGCCGCCAAGCACGACGTCACCACTCCTGTTGATGTTGTCGATACCACCCTTCGCACCTCTTAGGGGAATCGGTACCAACGATACAACGAGAGTGACGACGCTGTGGCTGCTGCACTGCTTTCCTCGGGCCCCGCTACGCTCGCGCGTCCGACGCAATAAAAGTCGCTCTGCTGCTGCTGGAGCTGCTGCTGCTGCTGCTGCTGCCGCCACATTGGTGGGTAGGCGCGCACTACCGTCGCAAGGCGCGCGGCGGCGGCGGCGGTGGCGGCGGGTTTCTAGGCTGCGCCGAGATGGTTGGGCGACCCCTCGAAGAGCGTGCTGAGAATGTACGCCTGGGAGAGCAGCGGCTCCACCTCTTCTTCCCCCCACTCCTTGGTTGGCATGTCCTGCAAGAACATCACCTGTGTTTCGGGTTTGGAAGGCACATGCTACAATGAGGCTCACATGCGCTTATCGGCGGTTGGGCGGCTGGTTGGCCAACACCGGGTAGAGAATGGGCGACCTGACTCCTCCCGACCCCCCCTCATGCGCGCTCTGCATGGAAAGGCTTGCCAAAGGCGGTGGCCTGTAGTACTACCGGTGAAGGTGACATAGAGCGCCATATGCAAAGGAGGCGCTGACACTTTCTAGCGACGCAAGAAGCCTGGCGTCGACAATCCGCAACGCTGCAGGCACGAGCCTTTCGCGGTACAAAACGGTCTATCCGCAGCTCTTGAGGTCTCTCACCACGACAAATACAACAGAAGTGGCGCACACGGCGACAGCTCCCTCGCCCCCCCCCTCAAACGGCATTTCTTGAGTGTTGTGTTCGCGAAAATAACTGTCTGTCTGTCTGCCTGCTCCCCTCTCTCCTTACCATAGTCTGGAAATCCATCTCCCGTAGGGTGCCCGAAAAGTGGCACAGCAAGGCCGCCGACACGTAGACGTGGAACGACTCGAAGCCGTTCTCCTCCGACAGGTAGGTGTCCCACGCCCGCACCACCGCCCGCTGTGGCAGCTCCCGCATCAGCAGACAGTTCATCCAGCGGAACGCGAACTGCATGTACATTAACCCCTCGTCGGTTATGTGCCGGTGGAGATCGGCTGGAAGCATTTTGGGATGATATGGGCGAGGCGGGGCAGGGCGGGGTGGGATCGGATAGGATGGGATAGACGGCACGGGATAGACGAGATGGGATAGCTTCAACAGACAGGGACGGGTCTGTGCATGAAACAAGACACGGTTTGACTGACTACAGCGCCATAGATGACGCTCGATTGAACGAAAACTGTAGCGCGAAAACATTTGGGCGACTACGCAACGAATTAGACAAGGCAACACCATCTCACAAGGGGCGGGGGGGGGGGCAGGGGAGGGAAAACTTACCGTCGATCCTTTGCACGAGCTCCTCTAGTCGAAGCACCATGCGCTGCAGCCCCGGCTGCATCGCCGTGTAGTGGTCCTGAGAACGTTCACGGTTTCCACCACACCCAACGCCGGCAACGGTGTAAAGCAAGAAAGATCGGCAGAGGAACATAAAGCCAGGATAGAAATCAGGTAGGCCGGGAGGCCGGCGGACAAAGACTAACCCCGTAAAACTTTTCAAAGAAAAAAAACACATACTTGCGGGTCTACGCGTTGAGTAGGTAGTATCTGTCACAAGTGCAGGCAAGTGGACGCTCGCAGTACGAGCGACGACATCACTATCGCCGCGCCGGCACCAACAAACAAAAGACGCTCGTGGCTGCACCTGTATGTTGTCGAGGAGCTTGGTAAGGCACCAGTAGACGTCGGCCTCCACTTCGTCCAGCAGCGCCTTGTCCACCTTGCTAACGTCCTTGGACTCAACGGACGGGCCTGCGCGCGGCGAAACAAGACGTAGTGGTGCCGACAGGGGAGCAGCTCAGCAAGGGGAGCCAAAGGACCCGGGTTGACGTACAAACGTCGTGGGAAAGGAGGTGTGGGTGTAGGCCGACAGCCGGGTGGGTGCGTGCATGCTGCCGCAACACAGAATCAACAGCCGCCAAGAACATGTGGCACTTGAGGCAACTCTGAACGCGGCGTAAGTGGAACAACTTGAGAAAAAAGGGCGGTACAAAAATCGCGTGAGATCGAGCGTGTTCGCGGCCGCCTGCACAAACCAACAATCGAACCTCAAGAAGCGGGCGGAGGCGCGCGCGGCGGGGGGGTGGGTGGTAGTGAAGGCCCCTTCTGACGCCTCACATCGCCGCCCGGGCTAGAAAAAATACCACGGCACCAGGTAGCTTTCGGAAACACCGGGCCGTACTCTGTGGCTGCAGCTGGCAAAGTACAGCCGTCATAAACCGAGCCAGTTGGGAAGGGGAGGAAGCGACTGTTACCCACGGGGGAAAGACGCCTCACCAACGTGTGCAGAGAGAAACACGACGTAAAGGGGGGTAAGGAGATCGTTGATTCCCTGCACGTAGCCGCTGGCGGGATGTCGGATCGCCCATATGTACAGTATCCGCTCCATCGCACGTTGAACCTTCGGAGCCAGCACCGAATCAAAGTTTGTCAACACAGACATACGACGGCAGCGGCGGCGGGGGGGTTGGGTTCGTGGGGCGCGAACCGGAAACGATGGCAGGGGTGGGGGGAAGACGGTTGTCGAGACGCGTAATAGACCTGACGTACTTCTAGTACCACACCAGAACGGCGAGAAAGCGCAGCGAGGCACGCTTCGTAGAGAAGAACAAGCTTCGCCAAAGACGTTTGAAACGCTTCAACGTTCCCATTAGATATGGCCATACCACAGAAAGCCGTTTGGATAGCCCGGCGAGAAACCTATCAACATCAGAAACCCATGAACAAAATGAGGAAGAGAAAGAGGGGGAGAACCGCCTTACAGAACCCTGCTTGCTACTCCAAAACCGAGGGCGGTCACCCCTTTCCTTGCACCTTGTCTTGGTGAAAAAACGGCACGTCCGGGCAGGTTCGCGGCACGTCCACCAGAATCTGCCGCAGGATGTTCTGCTCCTGGAGGCTTCGCGCGGCGTCGGGCACGTCGAAGTAGTGCGGCACCGCCTCCCAGTACTCTCGGCGCTTTCGCTCCAGCGCGGCCCCGCGCCGCGCCCGGTTCGCCGGCATATACCCCACCAGCAGCTGCCAAACCGCGGCCCGGTGGACCGGCGGCACCCCGTTCCAGCTCAGCTTTCGAAGCTCGTCGAGCTCGACGACCTCCTCGCCGAGGACGTCGTCGAACCGTTTATCTCTGTAACTCGGCCGGGTCGCTAGCGCTGGGGCGGCGGCAGGCGTCGGTGATGGTGGTGGTGGTGACGGCTTGGATTGCTGTTTTGTTGCCGCTGGTCTCGCTCCAATTACAGCTGCTGCCGATAGGGCTTGCGGTGAAGCTGTGGTTGCGTTCGGGGGCAGGGGGGGCGCTGGCGACGGCGACGGCGGCGCCGAGATGAGGTCGTTCCCAAGGGCTTGGGGGCTTCCAAAGGGCGAACCGCTGCTGTTGATGCTGCTGCGGGCGCCGGAGCCGGACCCAAACGGTGTTCCTCCCGCAGACCCACCGCCGCTAGGTCGGTTCACGCCCCCAGTGCCCCCTCCGCCGCTTCCAGTTACCTCGCTCCAGCCCTGGCGGGTTCCGAACGGCGAGAGGTCTTCCGCCGCACCGTTTCGACGCCCGCGGTCATTCTCCGCTGCGAGAAGATTGTGTTCGGTTCGTAATCGCGGGGGATTCGACAACAAGCAGGTCAGGGTAGCCGACTTGTATGCGGTAGGAGGCGTAGCGGTGGACGTTGACCAAGGCAAGAGGGGCGGAGAGTAGCGGCAGAGTGCTTGGCCCTTAGAAGGCGTTTTTGGCCCGAGAAATACAGATTTGCCGCTCTACTGCAGAGCCGATCATCCTGCGGCTACAGGTGCTGCTGCAGGACATGTAGATCGGTGCAACTGCATGCACAGTCTATCCTCCCCGTTGAATCTCCGTTGCACACACAGCAGTTCGAGTCGAGTGATGCACTCGACGCCTAGATACCCATCTGCGTCAGCGCTTCCTGAAAACTTGCTGGCGCAAGAGAGGCCTTCACAATTCAAACACGAACAACGAAGGGAGTATGCGCTCTACCGCCGAACTCGCCTAGACTACGCATACAAGAGGCAGAGTTTCCATCGCGCTCGACAAAAGCGCCTGCATATACCGAAGCGCTTACCGTTTCCAGCACCAGCACCAGCACTAGCTCCGCCGCCATTCACCCCTCTATTGTGTGAGTCTTCGTCTGTTGCCGCCGCCGCCGCCGCTGCTGGACGTGAAATATCTCTGCCGTTGTTGCGCGGTTGCAGTCGCGATGTTCGAAGAGAGCCGGGCACCGCGCCGGATCGCCCAGGACCCGCCCACAAGCGCGAGCTCTGTCCCTGACCGAGGCGCTTGAAGAAGCTGTCGAGATTAGACATCGATCCGGGAGACGATGCCAACGGTTTCTGCGGCTCTGGCGGCGACCCTTCCATTGTGTTGGCGCGCGATGTAGGCGTCGACACACCGCCGACGGCCGAAAACACACGCGAACAACACCTTCTATTTGCAGGTGCCTGCTTGTGAACTTGGTCCGCAGGGGGTTGTATTGTTTGTGTGTCCTTCGAAATCCGAGTTATTCGACCAAGGAGGTTATTGTCGTGGACTTCTCTCCCGTTGGGCAATGCTGCCGTGGGTTCCGCTACCTTAGGTGCCGGTAGTAGCTGGTAGAGCTGGCTGCTGCTGCAGTTGTCTCCGCTGGCCCTTTTGTGTAGCGACAGCTGCAACCAGACTGGATGATTGTCTCACACTCTTTCCTGTCCGAATCAGTGGACTAAACCGGGGTCCACCTTCTCTCCTTTAATACCCAAGCCGATGGAGATCCTCCCTCGATTCTTGATGCGCAGCAGGACGAATACTACCACAGCAGCAGCAGCAGCAGCAGCAGCAGCAGCAGCAGCAGCAGCAGCAGCACACAGAGGTGATAAAGTGCGGTTCGCGCAGGGGGCTCCGTGAAATGAAAACGTGGTACACCTCTTTTCTGGTAGCGACCGCCCCCAGCCGCCGCCTTGCTGCCGCGGACATACCAACCACGGTTACACAGCTCCGTTCATTATCGTCCTTCAGCCGTGGTGAGTGTGTGAGCTTGAGTACTGCAGTGTGGCAGGTGCGCATTGCGTTCATGCACTGGTGGTCCTTGCATCGCTCATGCAAGGTTTCGCTTTCTACTTTCGGTATCACAAAACTGAGGGCGTGTTTGTTCCGCATCCTCCAGCCCCTTGTTCGACACGGTGTGTCTGCTGTGTGTGAAATTGTGATGTGTGTGTTGGCTGTCTACTGCTGCTGTCCTCCCCCGCCCGTTCTATCCCTCTCGACCGGCCCTGGGCAGCGACATCTCTCGAGAAACGCTCGAGAGCGAGCAGCAGTTAGTTTCGTTTTGCAGCCTTTGGAAGTGGCGACAACCTCCGTGTGTGTCCCTTGTTTCCGTTTCAACACATTTTCTCTCTCACGGCCTGTGTTCTGTGATCTACTCTTGTCCCCTACCGGTACACACACTTGCGCTACACATTTTGCGTTCCTGCTGCGTGCTACAAGCATGAGGGGAGTGTTTCTGCCTTTCATCAGGCTTGTCTCTCGCCCTTACATGTTACACGCTTGCACGTGTTTTGGGGTGGCAATGGTAAAGCCACGATGCTTCTTTGTGGTGTCTTGGGGTCTTGCCGTCATCGATCGGCTGAAATCGGGGCAAAAAGATGCTGAGAGCAGTCTTCTGCTGTTCGAGATTGTTTAGAATTCAATCCCGGCGTGCAGAAGCTCTATGTACACGTGGTGTGCATTTTGTATGTCTCTCCATCGAAAGCTAGGTACGGCTAGCACCGGTCAACTCTTGACGCTGTCTTCAAACCGTGCTGCTCACAAGGGGTGCACCCCCCCGCGGCACGTACCAAGTAAACTGCTGCTTGCGCCCATGCTTGTAATACTGCTGTGGCGACTTGCGGATGGATGCGACCGGTGACTGCGGTTAGACACATGAAGAGAGAGGGGACAGGGCCAGAGTGAACGAAGTTTGGAAGGGATACAACTCAACCTGACTAGTAGAAAACTTCACAAGAACAGCGTTGCACTGCTGTACATCCAACAGTTGGGTGCCCACGGAGGGGTCGGCGCATCGTCGCACACTTCGCCGCCGCACAAGGCACTGTAGTACTAGAAGACTAGAAGTGGTTGCAAACAAGACCGAAAGACTACGTTCGTCATTCTGGTCCTGCTGTATAATGGCAGGCTTCCGACGTAGGGCACACCGCCTTGTTGCCCGCTGGCACGTCTATGCAGCTTTCGCTGTGGCGTTCCCAGCGCTCATGCTACGAAGAGATTAGTGTTTGTTTCATGGGGACTGTATCTCCCGCTCCTCGAATCTAGATTGTGATACGTACAACCTAGTCAGTGGTGATGAGGGATTCTCGCACCTCCATATTGGATAGCACAAAATTCACTCCACCTCTTCTCGCCCCGTTGGTTTTCAGACCAAGTTCTGAATGAAGTACGTCATCGTGCTTTCCGCCTCATGCGGGTCTGTGAATGATGGAAGAACTTGTTTGTTCCACTAAATGCGCTTGGGGTCCTACATACATGTATGCCCACGGCGACTACTGCTGCTGGTGGTGGTGCAGCTCCCTTTTCGGTGCTGCTTTCCGTGATGCAGCAAGTAGTGCACACTTGTCTAGGCGTGCGTTCTGTTTGCTACTTTAAAATGATATCCATCCACAGGCAGCGGTGAACGCCGCCCCTGCTGTGCTTTAACAAGGACGCCCTTGGACTCCCGAGTGAGCTTTGCCGCAGATTCTCGTGCGCGACGTCCCTCCTTCAATACATTCTGTTCTGTCGAAACGGAATAAAAACACGCCAATCGTTCTCGACCTGTAACGTTCTGCTCCTCGTTCGTTTTGCTTTTTCCTCTCTGCAGCACAACCACAAAGCCCACCGGCGTCGTCCTAAAGCAATCCGGCGCCTGTTCGGGTGCCGCACGGATCCTCGGTTTTTGTGTTTCGTGTACAAAGTAGTAGACAGATCTTTTCAAGGGTGGGGCGGGGCAACCCAAGAAACTGAATCTGAAGGGAGCGAGACAGAGAGAGAGAGAGAGAGAAAGAGAGAGAGAGAGGAGTATAAGCTACATCGAACGGGGCAAGGCGTGAAAACATCCGGAGGGGGGAGGGGACGACTATCGGTGACTAAGAGACGAAGACGGAGCTAGAGCTTTACGGCATAGGGCGATATACCATACGCACAACATGTCGTTTCTCAAGGAGCTGACGGACAAGGGCGCGACCATCGCCTGGAGCAACGTGGCCGCGCACCCGAGCCTCATCGCGCTAGGCACCAAGGTCAGTCGGCCAGGAGTTTGTGGCAGCGGTTTATTTTCTTTTTGTAAGGGAAAGGGGCGCGGCAGAGGCTACTCGAGCTGTGCACCGCCGGGGCGGGTGTACTCATGGCCGTGCATGCCGTAGGCATTGGAACACTGATCTCGCATCCCTACGAAGCCGGGACGGAGCACGCCTGGTTCTCACCGGACCAGGCTCGCACGTAGCCAATCCCGAAGCGCCGTGAGGTAAGCGGGGGGGAGGGGGGAGATTTTTTGTTGTTTTACTGGAGCGTTTGACCATCGGGATGGGATACAGCAATCCGCAGTTCTGATCAAGACGCGACCATTGTCCGGAAGCTGGTTCCGTCCACACGAAGTCCTTGCGTTCGTTTGCATCCCCTTCCTTTTTGGGTTTTGGTGGTCAGCACGGGCGATAGGGGCGCGGGGGGGGGGGGGGGGGGGGGGGGAGGGGGTTG